ATGATAATAATACTAATGATAATAATAATAAAATCAGCGTCAAGGCAAAAATAAAAGGAAAAAAATCACTAAAACAAAATAAGAGAAAAAAAGGGAAAAAAAATTATCATTTTCGGATTATTATTATTATTTTTTTTTTTTTTATTAAAATTTGGAATGAATTGATTGATTGATTGATTGATTGAATGATTGATTAATTATTAATTTTTTTTTTGTTTTTATTTTTTATATATATATTTCGAAATAAGGTGCTCTCGTATGATAAAAATTATTTCATCAGACTATTTATTTATTTATTTTGTTTTTGTTTATTTTTTATTTTTTGTTTTTCAAATTTTATTATTTAAATTTTTTTTTCGGAAGTTGGTAACAATGTAAAAAATTTATTATAAAAATTTTTGTTTTGTTTTGTTTTATTGTTTTGTTGATTATTAATTTTTTTAATTTATTTGTTATTATTTCGTTTTTTTGCAAAAAAAAAAAAATTTTTTTTAATAAAATAGCCTGATGAAAATATTTCAACATTAAACATATTATTATTATTATTATTAAAATTTTTTATTATTACCAATAATGATAATGATAATAATAATAATTTTTTAAAATTATTCTAAAAAAAAAAAGAAAAAACAAATTTTATATTTATTTATTTATTTATTATTATTTTACTGTGATCGGTTATTATTTTAGTAAATTAATCCTTTTATCCCTTAATCTCCATAATCCGCATTAATCCTTAATCTCCTTATTCACCTTCGAATATGCAAAATTTTCATTAATCATTTTTTTTGTTATTAATATCGGAATGATTGACTTGAATGTTGGTTAAAATTTCTTCCTTACTACCCAACAACAAACAATTCATCCGATTAACAAAAAAAAAACGATAATAATAATAATAATTTACATAATTTTAAATTGTACAAATTATTTAATTTACAGTAACGATTATATTAATAATTAATATTTAAACACAAAATAACAATAATAATAATAATAATAATATAAAATTTTTATTAACAATAGCCATATTTGCAATAGTTAAATTGAAGAATAATAAAAAAAAAACAATAGGTATAAGTTATTATTAATTGTAATTTATTAATAATAAGTAATAACATTTTCATTTTTTTTTTCATTTATTTATTTATTTAGTTTTAT